TATTAGACTCTAAGAATTATTCTACAACCGACTTTTAGAGTTTCAAGCTATCTCTTTTTGGCAGGGATTAAGGTAAGCTTCTTTTTCATGTACAATGTTAATGAGTTGTGTAATTTATGCAAAAGCACTGAGGATATTATATCTACTGTGAGTTATGTCCAGGATCAAATGTTATAAATATTTTTCCATAACTTTAATTTAAGGCTAGAACACAACTGTTAAAATTTCCATTAGTATGTAGTTCAGTGATACTTAAAGAAACATCATATTGTTTTCCTGCAGAAAGTGAGAGAAAAAAAGGGGGTTGTACAGGAGGAATATATGGCCCTCTGATACGTGATGTGCATGAATACATGACGCTCTGACTCATGAAAACATGGCAGAACAGGTAGTAATGTCATCATGTTGATTGTCAGTTGGTCTCTAATTAAGAGCCTAATTTTAAAAGAAAAAAAAATCTGATTGATTTTTGTGTGAGCTTTGTTTTGCTTTTTCATAGGGTTTGGTTTTGTTTTGTTTTGCTTCATTTTCTTTAGCTATAGAGTCAAACTAAACCCACTGTTACGGAATTGATTCCAACTTAGAATGACAGATTTTCAAGGCTGTCAGTCATTACAAGATGATGCTGACCACCTTTCTCCCACAGAGAAGCTGGTGGATTTGAACTGTTGACCTTTCTGTTAGCACTGGGACAAATTACACAGTATGTCACCAGCACCTTTTCTTTTTTTTTTTTTTTTAAGTTGTAGAAGTGTCCTAATTATCACGAGTCATATTCTATTTTACCCTTTTCCGCATAATTTCTTTTACATTTATTAGGGAATTTACAAATACTGACTGTGCTGAAAACCAGGATTTTTGTCTAGTCAAACCTAGGTTAAAACCCTGAATTTTTAATGCCCCTCCCTCTAACTTCATTAATTTAGAATATGATTTATTTTTTGAATCTTTGATGGTAAAATGAAAAGAACAATATTGTTATCAAATGCCATTGAGTTAAAGACGACTGAGAATAAACCTATAAACAACACATCTGAACCTTGCCTAGCCTGCGTCGTCCTCACAATCTCTGATAAACTCAAGCTCGTTGTTACAGTCCAGTGTCAATCCACCTTGTTAAAGGTTCTCCCTTCTTTTGCTGACCTTCCACCTTTTCCAGAAAGATGTCCTTTTTTAGGCCTGTCCCCTTTGACAACATGCATCTAAGTATGTGAGAAGTTTCCCCATTCTTGCCTCTAAAGAGCACTCTGTTTCTCTTCCTCCAAGAGAAACTTGTTTTTCTGGCAAGCAAAGGGATATTTAGTACTCTTTTTTCACTATCACAACACAAAAGATTCTTCTTCTATCATCTTTATTCATTGACAAAATTTCAGATGCTCAGGAAGTAACTGAAGATAGCATGAACTGGATCAGGTACACCTTAGCATTTAAATTGACATCATTGCTTTTTTTTTTCCAAAATGGATGTCCCTGGACGACTTTATGTTGAGTGAAATATCTCAGTCTCAAAAGGACAAATATTGCATAATGCCACCGTTGTAAAACGGGACTGACATCGGGATTGGGGGGATACTGAGAAAATGGGATAAATAATGTAGACTGCATTGAAACAAATGAAAGAGTGAACTGTTTAAAAGGGATATGTGATTAGGTATTATTGTCATGACAGGAGTCCAGAACAAAGGCTGCATTATGGAGTGGACTTGGGGAATTATTCTTTTACTTTTCAAAGAGAGTGCAAGCCGGGGGGGGGGGGTGGGGGGTGGACAGGGAGAAAAGTGCAACAATGAATGAATGTGGGGGGAATACATCATTGCTTTTTTTAGCACTGTGGAGATGTCCTTGACACCAGATTTTCCCAATGCAACATGTCTTTTGATTTCTTTACTGCTTTTAACTTGAGTATTGATTGAAGATCCAAATAAAATGAAATCCCTGACAATTTCCATCTTTTCTCCATCTATCATGATGTTGCCTATTTTTCTAGAAGTGAAGATTTTTGTTTTCTTGTTGTTGAGATGTAACTCATATTGAAGGAAGTAGTCTTTAATCTTCTATAATAAAAGTTTCAAGTCCTCTTTACTTTGAGAAAATAAGGTGTGTCATCTGCATAACATAACATGTTAATGAGTCTTCCTCCAACCATGATGCCACACTCTTTTTCATCTGGTCCAGATTTCAGAATGATTTACTCAACCTACAAATTGACTAGGTATGGAGAACAAATACAACCCTGATACACACCTTTCCAGATTTAAATCAATGCAGTGTTTCCTTATATTGTTTGGACAATAGATTCTTGGTCTAGGTATACATGTTGCATGAGCACAGTTAAGTGTTCTGAGATTCCCATTCTTTTCAATGGATCAGAAAAGTCTGAAAATACACCAGAAGGTAGAGAGATCTTAAACAAAGAAAAGAAATGCTAAAGTAGACGAAATTAACAGAAAATTTCAAAGGGTAGCTGGAGAAGATAAAGCAAAGTATTATAAAAAGATATGCAAAGAGCTGGAATTATAAAATCAAAAGACAAGCGCTTGGCATTTCTGTCTCATTTGAAAATACTATGACTGTACATCTTCTACAATTATTAAGAGAAGTAGTGGAGGAGATATTATGGGAGAAGCATGGGCAATCTTCTCCCATACAATTAACTGCCTCTGAAAACCCACCGGAGTATAAGCTATGGGTCAGTTCCAACTCAAGAGTACTCAACAACAGTGGAAAAAAAAATTAAATATATATATATAATTAATGATATATTACAATATATATTGATATAATTTATTTTATATATAATCATTTATCATTGTGATTCATGCTAATTTTAAAAGCTTTTTCTTCACAGTTTGTCTTCTACAGAAGACTTTTAGAGTCTTTACCCATTAGTTCTGGCAGCCTAATGAGTAAAGAGTTACACCGCCAGTGTAAAGGCAGGTGATTCAAACTCACCAGCTGTTTGGTGGGAGAAATGTAGGAAATATTATATGCCATGTACAGCCTCTGAAAATCTGCCAGAAGAGCTATGTTGTTGTTATGTGCCATTGAGTCACCTGCAACTCATAGTGACCCAATGTGCAGCAGCTCTGAAGCTTGCCCTGTCCTGAGCCAGTCCCACAGATTCTGACACACCTACCCCTTTTGGCTTAGTTACTATAACAATCCATCTCATCCGAGGTCTCCCTCTCCTGTGCTGTCCCTCCACCCTTCCAAGCATGATGTCCTTCTCTAAGGACTGGTTCCTCCTGGTTACATGCTAAAAGTATGTGAGACAAAACTTCAAAATCCTAGGTTCTAAGAAGCAACTTGGTTTTCACCCTCTCCACAACAGACCAGTTTGGTTTCTTGGCAGTCCATGATATGTTCAAGACTCTTCTCAAGCACCACATTTCAGAGGCATCAATTGTTCTTCTGTCATCCTTAGTCATTGACCAGCTCTTTGATGCATAGCAAGTAATTGCTAAGACCACTGCCTAGATCAGGCGCATCTTAGTCTCTTGACTGACAACATTGCTCTTTAGTACTCTGGAGAGGTCCCTGGCTGCAGGTTTTCCAGTGCAATCCTTCTTTTGATTCTCTAACTGCTGGTGTTAAGAGTGTTGATTGTGGAGCTGAGCAAGCTGTAATTATTAACAACTTCAGTCTCTCCTCCATCTATCATGGTGCCGCCAATTGTCCCAGTGGGGAGAATCCTTGTCTTCTTGATGTTGAGCTTTAATACGAGTGAGTTCTAAATCACCAGCAATGAATTCAGAGTTCAATTTATATTCTAAGCTTTCAGTGAAGTTGTGAAAGGGTTAGAAGTAAAATAGCAAGAAATATCTGTGGTGGAGGATCAATGATTTACCAAAGACAAACTTAATGTAAAATATGGACAATGTTGTGCTGAAACATTAATAACTTAAAAACTATAAAAGAGGGAACTCTCTTTATTTACAAACTCTCATCAAAGTGGTTCAGCTAAAGGATGGCAAAAAAAGAGAAAATGAATGAATTTAAATACTTATTTTAACCCGAGATGAAAATCTTGAAAGAAAAAAAAAATAGCAAAAGAATTGGCTCCTGAGAATAGTCAGTATATAGATACTCATATGGGATGGAGTACACTAATAAACACTGGACGACACAAAATAGTTTCATGTCTCAAGTGCGAAAGGAAAGACAAGTCAACAAATAGGGCAACCATGTGTCACAAACTCACACACTTTAAAAACTTGGGTATTGTCATGACAGGAGTCCAAAACGAAGGCTGCATAGTGGAGTGGACCTGGGGGGAAGGATTGTAAAACAATGAAAGAATTTTTCTTTTACTTTTCAAAGAGAAGAATGAATTGGGATGGGGGTGGAGGGAGGGGTGGGCAGGGAGAAATGTGCAACAATGAATGAATGGAAATCCACAGTCTGTAAATTTTCATGAAAATCAATAATAAAAAAATTGTTGTTGTTGTTTTAAGTGCTGTCTAGTTCAGGCAACTCATAGTGACCCTATGAACGAAAGTCCTGGACACCTCCTGTATAAATTTCGTCCTCTCTTCAGGTTCATAGGGTTGCCAGAGGCAAGCTATTTTGGAAGTGGATGCCACTCCTGCTTCCAAGCTTGTTTTAATTGGGGAGCTCCACCAAACACTGTCCACCCTGGGTAACCATTATCGCATTTGACTCATCAGTGTCACAGTGTTCGGCTTCACAGCAACCACGAGTTACCTCTGTACAGCAAGTGGAAATACCAGCATTACACGACCTAGAAGAATGTTTCACCAAAAACAAAGGCAGGCCTTTAAATTTTCATTAAAATTAATAATAAAAATAATGAGGGGGGGAAACCCCACCTTGTGTGTCATTACTAAACTTTCTCAAGATCAACACTGAAGCTATCTTTCAATCTTAATATGATAAATTTCCATTTCACTGTAATCTCTTTTCTGTTTAACATCCTGGTGTTTTGTTTGTTTGTTTATTTTTCCATTCCTCTTTGACAAAGGGCATCCCTTGATTCTCAGATGTCACTGGAGAACGGTACTGAAGTGACTCAGTTCATCCTGCTGGGACTAACCGATGACCCGGAGCTTCAGATTCCCTTCCTCATCACCTTCTCTCTCATTTACCTCATCAATGTGCTGGGAAACTTGGGGATGATTGTGCTGATCCTGCTGGACTCTCGCCTGCACACTCCCATGTACTTTTTCCTCGGCAACCTGTCTCTCGTGGATCTCTGTTACTCCACTGCTGTCACTCCCACGGCGTTGGCTAGTCTGCTTCGAAGAGACAATGCCATCTCCTACAATGCGTGTGCCGCTCAGATGTTCTTTTTTGCGGCTTTTGCCACTGTGGAAAATTTCCTCTTGGCCCTGATGGCCTATGACCGCTACACAGCAGTGTGCAAGCCCCTCCATTACGCCAGCATCATGACATCGAGCGTGTGTGTACATCTGGCCACAGCTTGCTACGTCTGCGGCTTCCTAAATGCCTCCATCCACACCGGGGACACGTTCAGTCTCTCCTTCTGTAAGTCCAACGTGGTCCATCACTTTTTCTGTGATGTTCCAGCCGTCATGGTCCTCTCTTGCTCTGACAGACATGTCAGTGAGATGGTTCTTGTGTATGTGGCAACTTTCGTTATCTTTTTTGCCCTTCTGATTGTCTTAATTTCCTACTTGTTCATATTCATCACCATCCTAAAAATGCACTCATCTGATGGGTATCAGAAGACTCTATCGACCTGTGCCTCCCACCTCACAGCAGTCTCCATCTTCTACGGGACAATCATCTTTATGTATGTACTGCCCAGCTCCAGCCACTCCATGGACACAGACAAAGTGGCATCGGTGTTCTATACTATGGTCATCCCCATGCTCAACCCTGTAGTCTACAGCCTGAGGAACAAGGAGGTCAAGAATGCATTCAAAAAGATTGTTGAGAAGGCACAGTTGTTTCTTGGATTAACTTTTTAATACTGTATGATTCACAGCCATAAAGCTTCATTCTGGTCAGATCGATATGAACTGCTCGTGTTTCTTTTTTTTTTTTTTCTATAATTATATTTTATTAATTTTCATAAACATTTACAGAGATTTTGGGCTTCCACTCATTCATTGTTGCACTATTCTCTCTACCCTCCTCCCAGTTTGATCTTGTCCAAATGCCACAGTGCTTGTCAAAGCCAGTTCTGATTAATCTTCTTTGTCAGTGTGTCCTTTGCCATTCCCTATCACTCCTCCCTACTGCTCGTGTTTCAAAGCCAGGCCGTGTTGAATTCCAGCAGAAGGAAGGGAAGGGAAGTAGAAAATGAATGATAAGATAATGAATGAATACTTATTAGAAAGGGTGACAAGGACAACAGAATGGACAAATGGACAATTGAATTTTGTGCGTATTGTAATTAACGTTATGGAACAAAAAAACATAGGAATGATCAAAAAAGATGGTTTGTAAATGTCCACTCAAATCACTAAAAATGTAAAAAAAAAGAAATAAAATTTATGATGTAAAATTAAAAAATATTAAAGTGAAGGGATAAATAGCTTATTTTAAGGAAAAAAAGGAAATATGTCTTTAACCGGAACGCATAAATAAAAATAGCTCAGGGAAATTGAGAAATATTTGAGTTTTGCTTTTCAAATTTTTTTCACTGTATATGATTTAGTCAAATATGCGCTACTATATGCCCCTTCAAGCATTTATGTCAAACCAGACACACACAGTGAATGAATAAAAGTATATGCAATAACATTATGTTCACACTTAATAGAATATGAATTTGTTAAATGAGGTTACTGGAATGGCTTGTTCTAGACAAAAAATAATCTAAGTAACAGAAAGAAAGACCCTAATAGAAGAAAGACTCAACAAGACAGACTGACACAATGACTTTAACAATGGACTTGAGAATGGTGAAGATTTTGAGAATGAGCAGGGTTCTGATTCATTTTTCTTAGGATCACTGAGTCACACGAGATAGAACATAACAGACTCCTAGCTGACCAATCAGTGAACTTCTGAGGCTGTAAGTTTCACAGGAGAAGATTTCCCATCGTTTTGCCTGCATCCATTGGTAGAGATTCTCATTTCATCATCTTTGGTTTTGGCGACTGGTGTGTGTATATACATAGAAATAACAATCATGCTAGTCGGTCTTCCTTCTATGACTATGGGCGGCAGCCCATCACTGACAGCACTCTGTACTTCAGGGTAGAGCCTGAAATGCTCTTGTTGATGATGAATGCTAATTCCTCTTCAATTTGCCAACACCGTGTGATTGTCCACCGAAGACCTCTTTAAAGTGCTAAACTGTAAGGATGTCACTTTAAAGAGTAAGGTACATTTGGCCAAAGGCATAGTATTTTTCAATGCTTCATCTACCTGTGAAATTTAGCAGTGAATATAGAAGACTAAAATATAAGAGATTTTGCAGGAGTCTGTGGCTTTGGAAACCCTTAAAGGGAAACCGTAGCAACAGGCACTTACTGTGCCTTGTGAAAGGAAGCAGCGGCAGAACATTCTGGAGGTTTCTCAGCAATAGACAGGAGCAGGACTAGCAAGTTACAAGAGAGGTAATTATATCCAGTTCTTTTCCTGAAGCTTCTGCCGGCTGACAGTTCCTTTCACTCCCTAATCTGGCTCCCGGTTGACGTTCCATTCCTTTTCTTCTTTAACTGTCCTAACAAGCGATGCTCTCTGGTAAACGAGCTCCTGCTCTGACATTCATTGACTGTCAGTGTCCTGGAGTCGCTCTACCCTCCCGTCTCTGTAGAAACTTTGTTGTACGTACGTAGCCAGTATCTGCCTTTTAAAAAATTATTATTTTAATTGTGATTTTAATGAAAGTTTACGGAAAAGTTAGATTTCCATTCATTTGTTGGTGCTCATTTTTATCTCCTCTCTCTCCGTTCTCCCTTCCCCAGATCACATTTTTAAAAAATTATTCATTTAGATTCTGCCCTCCCCCCTCCCAGTACTCTTTGCAACATACCTCTTATTCTGGACTGTTGTCATACATACAATGCCTAAGCACATATTCCTTTTAAACAGTCCTTTCCTTCACCTGTTCCAGTGCAATGCTCATCATCTAGCCGCTGTTTTCCTATTCTCCTCCCAAACTCTCATGTCAGGCCTGCTTTATCACAGTGGTACTATGCAGTATTTGTCCTTTTGTGATTGAGATATTTCACTTAGCATAATATCCACCTTTTTGTGGATACTAAGAAGTGTCCACATAGAAAAAGAACCTTTCTGTGGACTTGCTCAACCATCTGTGTACATTAATAGGTTGTGTTGCTGATGTTTATTTCCTGCTGCTTTTTTACCATAGCCATGTTTTGGTAAAGTTTATTAGGATAATATAAGACAGTTTAATGCTATAGCAAAATAGCTAACATTCAAAGTTCAATTTAGTTAGAATCTGTTTCATAGAAATAAGTTATTATTAGTAATGATAATAATAATAACTATGATAATGCATATATAAATAAGTGGCTTTATTTCATATTCTTCCTCCTTCTTTAAGAAAGGGAAACAAAATTTGATATTTGATTTTGAAATTGTTGTTGTTCTGTGTCTTCAAGCTGCCTGCAACTCATAGCAGTCTACGTACAAAGGCTCTGACCCTAGCCCTATCTTGAGCCAGTCTCCCTGACTCCAACAAGCTTGTAGATTTGCTGTCGGCTTAAGATGATACTAACTTCAGCATATTCCAATGGTTTGGAACGGAAAAATATAAAACAGGTCATCCACACTACAGCACAGGGTTATTAAAAGAAAATTTTTAGTAACTTTTCAGACAGTAAACCATACTCTTGACCAGAGAATACTTCTTTTTTTCACATAGGTTACTTGGCCAGGAATATTTTTCCACTTAGGTTACTTGGTATGATTACTGAGGTTGGCAAGAAACATCTTTTGCGTCAGTGAGATTCTCCAGTGTCCTGATTTATTGGTCAATGCAGTCATCTTCCATTTGTAGGCTCCAGGACTCTTTTCCGTTCTGCAATTGCATGCCCTTTTCTTGCCTGCTGTGTTAGGGCATCCTACTCGGGGGCACTTTTCTGACTTTGTTCATTATGCAGCTCATGGTCATGTTATGCTTAGTGCTTCTTAGTTTGCCTTAATTCCTCTCCTTGAAATGAAAGCTAGCCTGTAGTTGATAAAAGATCTAAAGACAAAGATGTAACTTTGTGTGGACGCTTTATATTTATGTTGTTGTTAGGCACCATCGAGTCGAGTATGACCCTATAAATGACAGAGCTGAACTCTGTCCTGTCCTGTGCCATCCTCAGACTCCCTGACACCCTACGGCTGTTGCTGCAGATACTGTGTCAATCCTGATTAAGGGTCTTCTCTTTTGCTGGCCCTCCACTTTTCCAAGCTTAATATTCCTCTCTAAGAAATAACCCCTCCTAGCAACATGCCCAAAGTTACATTTCTAGTCTGTTGAGATACTTTGGCAGATAAAATGCGTTATTAAAACAGAGTTCATCTTTGTCCCTTTTTAACATGATGACTAGAAGGTGTACCATGCATGTCTGCCTAGCATTGCCGCTACAGAGGCCACAGAATTCGTTTCTTTCATTATCAGCCTTGAGAGAGTGAGAGTTTATTAATAATACATCTACTCCATATGCAAGAGAAATAGTAATGCTTGAGGTTTTGCTTTATTTTTATTATCAGTGTTATTGTCAGTAAAATATTTGATTTTTTTTGTCCTTCTTGAAACTATTTTTTTTAGTGTATAAGAGTAAGAATATCTTAGAATATGTAGGCCACTGGTAAATAATAGAGATTAGTGGACACATAGGGAGCTCTGATGGTCTACTAGGAAGGAATTGTTCAGCCAATACAAAGGTACATAGTTCAAATTCACCAGTTGCTCCACAGGAGAAAGAGGGGCAGTCTCCTCCCATATAATTTATTGCCTCTGAAAACCTGCTGGAGGGTCAGTTCCCACTCAATAGTATACAACAACCTCTTTAAATTATGGCCAATGTTGACAAAGAATATTGAATACACAAAACAACAAAGACATTTATCTTGGAAGAAATGCTACCAGAGAGCTCCACAAAGTTGGGCTTGGTGAGAATTTGTCTTAATACCAGAATAAGCCTGATCTTGGTAAAGGACATTAGGCCTGGAAAAGTAGGGCATCATACCCAACAAAAGAAAGGGAGACTCTGAAAGATACGGGTTGGCCTGCTGAATTTAACCAGGAGTTTGAGTGGTGATGAGCATAGAACAGGATCAAGCAGAGCTTCTTTCCTTTGAAGTCTAACAGTAACATGAAAGTAGCCTCTCAAACTAAGCAATATTCCTGCTTTCACAAAATTATTTGATACAAACATCATGTTCACCCTATAGTTTTTAAAAAAGAAAATGGTCACAGTATTTTAAAAAAATCTTTAATAATAATATTTTTTTAATTTTCAGTCTATATCTCACTACAAATTCTCCATATTTAAAAAAACACACACAGAAACTGGTGATGTTAACCGTTGTTCCTGGAAATTCTATGTGATCACTCATGCCACTAATTCATGGTTTATTAGTTATGATTGAGAACTAGCTTTGATCATTATTCACCTTATTCATCTCAACTCTTCATACTGTTTACCGTGAAAAAAGCAGTTAAATGTACTCTTGCCACAATATTATTTTTTTAATATTTTCTTTTTCCCACCAGCACTTTACTTAAGGGTACCAATCATTGAGCATACCTTGCTCTTGGAAGCAGAAGTGGCATCCACTTCTGAAATAGCTTGCTTCCAGAAACTCTATGAACTCTATGGAGAAACTGTATGGAGAAATGATCAAAGTTATATATGTGTTTAGGTCTTCTGTTCATAGGTCGCTGTAAGTCGTCTATGACTTGACAGCACTTAACAACAATGTAAAAGAGTTCTGTTGACTTAGTGGATAGAAAGGGATGCTACTAAGCCAAAGGTGGGTGATTTTAATCTGCAGC